CGAGCAAGACGACATGGGCGAAGAAACCTCGGACGCGTAGTTTATTTTAAAGTGAGTACACAATTGTCTGCAACCAAGTATCAATGTGTCAGAGGCGCGAATAAGTCTTGGCAGACAACGGAGGAGAAGCTGTCGCATTCAAGAAACACATGGAAACAAAGGTTGTCCCATACGCACCCTATCGTATACCGACAGTCAACAAACAGAACTTAACACTGTCATTCCAACTCGACGGCATAACATATATAAAGTAGAAACAATTTTGTCTACGCGGAGCGGGCTGCGATGATGTCGTCGACCCGCTGGCGGATCCACTCGACCACGTCGTCTTTGGTCTGACCACCGTTGACGCGAACAGCGTCGATGTTCTCTTCAATCTCTTCCTTCAAACGCGAGCGCTGACGCTCCGTCATCGTCGCCGACTCGGCTTTGCTCGCACCGTGCATCTCGGTCGCCATGAGGTGGTACTTGGTGTGCGTACCCGAGAACGAGATGCCGTCTTGCTCAAACTGGGTGCGCCACGCGTTGACAATGGCCGGGATCACGAGAGGTGCACCAGCCTCAACTTCGGTCGGGAGGTCAATTCCCGAACTGACGACCTTGTTGAGACAGACGAGGACGCTGTCGCAGCCGTTGAACGTGTTGCGAATGTCTGTCGCCGGCAAAAGAGGTGGCTTCTCGTCAAAGAGGACGAGACTAATGCCGATGCTGCCGACGCCGTGGAGCTCGGACGTGTACCGGACTTGACGCTCGCTCAGCGAGTTGTTGCCGGGCATGTCGACGAGGTAGACTTTGCGCGTGGGGTCGTCCGCCATTGGTGCGTAGCGCAAGAAGATTGGGTCTGTCGTGGACTTGCGGGCGTCTTGCTTGGCGTCGTTGAGTTCGCGAATGAACCACGACTTGCCGACGCCTTGGTTGCCGTTGAGCACGATGAAGACGAGGCCCTTGCACGATTCCTCGAGGTCGATAAGCGTCTGCAGCACGGCGGCAAAAGCACGCAATAGCAGACGATGCTTTAGCGGGAGGTCATCCGGCAGTTGGTGTGCCGCTAGCTGCTTCTCCAAGAGCCGTGTGCTCGTAGCGCGACTTTCTTGTTTCAGCTCGACGTCGGATGCCAACTTCTTCAGATGGACCGAGTAAGCGCTGGAGGCGGCGCGGAAGTTCTCGGCCTTGGCGTGGTTGACCAGGTCGGCCAGATCACCGCAGTGCTGGCCAATGGCATCGGCCTTGGAGACAAACAATGCGCCGACTCCGCCGTACATTGCTACTTCAAAAAGCGAGGCGCCGGTGAGCGACATCATAGCACTGACGGAACCGAGCGACCAGCCAGCTTGGGCAATCGCTGCGACACCAGTGACGAGGCCGGCACCGGACACCACTGCTGCTCCAATGGCCAATGCACCGAAGAGGAGCATCCCCTTAGTCAAGCCATCGGCTTCACCAGTGACGAAGCATTCAGCCAGCAAGTTGATCGTGCGGAGAATGAGGCCCGAGAGGTCCGACCCAATGTTGGTCTCATTGAACGTGTGCAAGGCATCGACGTTGGTCGCAGACGCGTCCGCCGGCTCGATGGCGCGGATGCGGTCCATGAGGTCGCGCCACGGCTGCATATCGACCTTCACCGCCTTCTCGACCATCTCATCGGTCGTCGACTTGTCCTTTCGTTCAAGGAAGCGGCGAACGAGGAGGTAGGCCTCCGTCGCATCACCGAACGCCTCAAGGATCTTTAAGATACTCGGGTCACCAAAGCTCTGCAGCACGATGGCAGCCATGATGGCGCGGTTGAGACGCAACGGCAGCGCGTCTTGCGACATCTCGGGCGACACCAAGCAGGCGAGCGCGGCGCGAAACATGACCTGGGCGACATGCTGCGTCTTGGCTGCGTCGATGGTTGGTGCTACTGTGCGAGGCTTGAGGAAGCGCTTGTACGCCGTCTCGATGCCGTGCGCCTCCTTCATCGACTCGATCGACGTCATGGCGCCGAGGCCGGCCTTGAACCCGTCGCCTTGAAAGTGCGCAACGGCGTCCGTGTGCTCTTCTGCCGTCGTATCCTTCTCGTTTGCGCGGAGGTGGATCCAGTTGCCAAAGTAGAGGTACTCGGAGAGGACGAGGTTGGCGTGCTCCGCCGCTGTCGCCCGCACGTTTTGGACGTCGATGCCGGTCGACCACTGCAAGAGCTGCACCAGCGTGGCGTTCATTTCCTGGACGCGGTCGGCGATCGCGGTGGCCGACGAGAAGAGAGCGGGGACAATGTCCGTGTCGGTGTAGTACGTGAGGAAGCGGTCGCCGGCCACGAGAGGCTTTTGGCTCTTGAGGAACGGCGTCGACCCGAACGCGACGGACGTAACCTTGTGCTTTGGAAAGTTGTCGTAGTTGGGGTTGAGGAGGAGGCTGTAGTGTGCGACGTGGGCGACGGCCCCGCCTCGGCTGTGACCGCAAAGAATTACCTTTTCAACGTCGTCGTCGCGCAAGATCTCGCGCGCGAGACGTCCAATCCCGAGCTCGCGCGCCTCGATGTTGAAGCCGGCCGGCGCGTCGCCTTCCTGGCCCTGGACAATGCGGGTGCCGGCGACCGCACAGTTGGTCACGTGGTCGTAGGCCGTGCACGAGCCGGTGACGCAGATGTAGACGACGGTGCCGATATTGGCGACGATGCAGCGGATCTTGTCGTCGTCAAACTCAATGTACGGCGGCTGGTCGGTTTTCACGCCGAGGTTGCTCACCATGGTCGCGTGCTTGTTGGTGACACTGGTCTTGAACGCGTCGTAGGTCTCGCCGGTCTTGCGCGTCTCGTAGCTGAGGACGCAGTAGTTCAAGGCCGCGTTGAACTCGAAGTCGGTGATGACGTCGCGCGAGGGCGTTGGTTCGTTTGCAGCTGGTGCCATGTCCTTGCCGCTGCAAAATGAAAATGAACTTGGAGAGCTCCGACGCAAACCAACAAGACGAGTGCAGAGATGCGTGTGAGCTATCATCACTACACTGTACCACCACTGGCATGCAACTTCCTGCGTATCGACTGACGACAATGTTCTCTACTAGCTTATCCATGCAGTGGCAAGCCCTCGACACGGCAAAGTGCAAGTATCTTATTAACTTATACCTTGCCCAACGACCCCGTGCAACCACGACAAATTTTATCAACAAGCACTCTCATAAGGTACACTCTACCTAACGCTCAACTACTACTAGTACGTACAGTAGTATGGTGCGAAGAAGGAATATGTGGATGGGACGAAGAAGCGGCCAGGGACGTATGGGATTGCTTGTTGATAAAATTTGTCGTGGTTGCACGGGGTCGTTGGGCAAGGTATAAGTTAATAAGATACTTGCACTTTGCCGTGTCGAGGGCTTGCCACTGCATGGATAAGCTAGTAGAGAACAT